GTCATTATTCATAATGACCATATTAAACACTTTGTCCATAACATATACACTATTATTATCAATAGAAGCTTGTATATATGAATTATTTATTGTATTCATAAAATTATACAAAATTCCCATGGAACGAAAATGGCGACTAACCACATATTTAAAATAAGAAAACACGAAATACGTGAAAGATTTTGTTACTTTCAACTATATTATAAAATGGCAAAAAGCTTAATTTTTAAGATAGGTACGAAATTAAAAAAACTGTAAATGCCAATAACGAAACAAATCATCATTAATTTAATATGTTTAACAGATGTTATCAGTTTTATAAGGAAAAACGTGTACCATGCCGGATAGAAAGAGGTGATAAATTTGTCAAAACGTTGATTTTAGACAATTGACATTGTGGTGGTTGATTTACCACCTACCTTGAGAGTTCGTTGATTTTATAAAATAACCGAAGCTTTATATTTCAACTTAAAAGCCTTTGTCCATAACATATATATATATAGATATAGATAACTAAAAAATACATTTATAAAGCGTTCTGGTTATAATTGTTATTTTGAAGTAAATAGTAATTTTCAAGAGTGTTTTGAGCTATCGGGTTAAATACGGGTCAGATAAAGCTATATACATCTTTACGTTTGTAATTCAAAAAGGGTCACAGCAGGCAAAAAGAAATTACAATCTTACAGATTACTATTCAGCATCTTTCTTTACACATTCCTGTCTAGACACACATTTTTACTTCAGAAGCTTCCACGCACTTTTACCATATTTCCTTACATTCTTTCTTCGATATAACACCTTGCATTATTTCAAATATTTATTAAGCTGTTCGAAACAACGCTTTCTCACTCTTCCTCTATCAATCTTGTCATCCACCCTTCACACATATACTCTCTTCAACAGTTTTCTTTTCACTCCTTCAATGCAGCAAACACCACAGAACCGATTTTTTTCCAACATGTGTTGTATTTTAATTAACACAGTCATTCTTCGTTATGCAACATACACCTATCTAATACCACATTTCTAATGCAGTAATGAGACTTATTTCACTTTTCTGCTATACTTAGGTTTTTTGCCAAACATGAACACAGGCAATACAAGAATTTCACACCTTTTGATTCTGCGTAAATTTATTTATTGTATTCACCGCATTCTGTCATGAGTTCGCTCTCTTGTATATCCTTCCATTCCTATCGGTGGTACTTTTTAAATATACAGACTGATTCGCCTATTTTAGCCGTTTATCACTTAGCTTAATAATGCGATATGTTATTTTCCTTTGAATTTAAAAATTGTAATTTTATACTGTATATTAAAGGTTGTTTTTTAAATTTATATCAATAAAGGTATGTAAAATCTTTTGTAGAAATAATAATAAGGTAAGGATGCCGAATATGAGATACCATTTTTATTTTTGACTATAAAAAATGACTATTACACTTGGAGCTTTACAAATTACAATTTTGAATAGGGAATTTAATATATTTAACAATATAATTGCTATTTAGTCCTAAGCATAATACATTTTTAGTTATATTAGATAAAATGAAAAAAGTCCGAAATCACGTCTTAGGTAAATGGTCTCCTATTATGAGATACTAGGGGTACCCCAGATTCTGGACAGTCTTGACCCGTCCAGATTCGATCCCGGGTCCCCCAGAGCGGTAGGCTGTCACCGTGACCTCTTGGCCATCCGGCCTTTTCTGGGGTATCCTTAGGAACACCGAATTGTTTTGATGCCTTTAAGTAACCTATTTGATTGCTCCGTACTGCATCCACGGCTCGTATCATGGCACTGTGGTGCCAGGTTTTCCTTTTAANTTTCGTACATAATCGGTTATCCGAAACATCGATCTTCCGAACAGCCCCAGTCCCCAATTGATTCGGATAATCGACGCTCTACTGTATTTATATTTAACTTACTACTTGAAAATTTAAAAACAAAATTGTGCAATTATCGAATTTCAAAGTGCTTCATTTAAGTGTTCATACATTTTGCAAAAAAAAAAACAATTATAAAATCAACATCTTAACAATGACAAAGTATCATTTGTAATAAGATTTTAAATTTAAAGCGATTCGTATTTTTTTATTGATAAATTGAAAAACCGAGACAGTTGTATAAATAATTAAATTTATTGCCTACTTATTGTTAAGTTTATTTTGAATTTCGCTTGGAGACAAATTTAAACCCTATTGAAATGTTACGGGGTGATGTAAAATCTGCTTTGAAACATAAAAAATACCGGAATAGAAACGAGCTATTTGTGGCAATTCAAGAAGCTTGAAAAAATTTTCCAGCTGAGGGTATGCAATGATTGGTTGACTCCATGCCCCGCCGTTGCTTATCTGTGATAAAAAGTTTTGGTTCTTTATCATTAAAATATTAGTTCTTTTTGCTAAATTTTATTATTGACCCTAAACATTTGTCTACGGACAAACTGGCTTGTTGCACATCAACCATTGATTACGTTAAAGTAATGTTTTGTTTACGAAATAAAGTTTATTATTTTATGAAATGAAACAAAGTTAATATTTTTCCTGAATTATAGTTTCGTTTGTTTGGTTATACATTCCGCACAACTCGGTTTTGAAAATAATTGCTAATGATCATAAACAATTGGCCACCACTGTACATGCGTATACGTGATAAATTGTTAATAAAAAACCTAATTAAAACGTGGCTACAATATTTACAACAATGTCTGCATCATTTGAATCAGATATAACTTATCGATTAACGAAAAAATAGACAATATTCAGTGATCCAATAATATATATAATAGCCTTCATTCTGGTTCTTTACCTGTTGTATTAACAAACTTCTGCTGTATAAATTGTACGTAAATCTCAAATTTGCATTAATTATTGTCATACGAAATGAACGAAAATTCATTATTAGTTCTTACAATTATCAATTCGAATGATATTCACTTTTTCTGCTTTGAATGATATCCAAATAGAAAATCATTATTTTTAAAGACATAGATATAAAGCTATTTAAGTTCCAGTAGTTTTGAACATTTTACCTTGTTTATTCCAGTATTTAGATTTATTGCCACACATAACTGTAAATTATAAATAACAAGGTATGATGTATGGAAACGTTGTCACAATGCCGGGCTGCAATTTTTTATGTCATTTTGAATTTGTATAATTTAGCATATATGCTATTCACCAGAAATTAGTACTGTGTTAACACTGTACATGATACTTTTCCTTTAACAATAGAATCGTTTCAATCATATATTTAACACCTTTTAATGAAAACTATTTAAATAGAAATTAAGTAACTTTCGATTTTTATAGGAAGCGCATATATTGGTTTTATCTGTCACAATGAATTTTATATCTGGTCTCAGATTTCAAATATCTAACTTTATTCTCGAGATTAATTAAGAACAGACAGCCAGATGGTAATAAAGACAAACAAACAGCCAGACAGATAACATCGAGAATTTATAGACCTACGTCTGCAATTTTTCCAATTAATATTTTCATTCTGATACTGAAATAAGAATATTTCACTATAATACAGTCGACCCCCGTATAACACGGGGGGTTGACTGTATTATAGTGAAATAAGAATGTCGACCCCCGTTTCTAAGATCGTCACTTAGATTTTAGAAATACGTCTGTCGGACTGTGAACGGCTCACGTATTTGTAAAATCTAAGTGACTCGTACAACATGGAACTCTTATAAAACGGAATTATCAACAGTGTATAGGGGGGTCGACTGTATAGTAATGAAAATTAAAAAAATTCAATTATAATCCGAAATCTCAGATATCACGACTTTCTGCTGAGGCTTTCAAATAAACTACTCCTTTCGTTCAAAATATAAAGAATTTATAAAAATTATTTTATTTTCAATATTCGAGTTTTACTAAAATCGCGTGATGTCAAAATTAAATCAATATTATAAATTAAATTGATTACTATACAGTAATAACATAATTACTCTTATATTACAGCNTTTTTCTGCTTGCTTTTTAAGATTAAACAAAGCCCTTGTTTTAGACACACTTCTTATTTTTTCTTCTATTTTTGGATCAATTGTTTGGATTGTTTCTTCTTCATTCACCAATTCTGTAATACTAATAACATCTTGGTTTAGATTTTTTCACGTGAAGACGATGTAGATCTTTGAACTTCATCAGTTATATTGCTATGTAAGGGTGGCATTATNTAAAAAACCTAATTAAAACGTGGCTACAATATTTACAACAATGTCTGCATCATTTGAATCAGATATAACTTATCGATTAACGAAAAAATAGACAATATTCAGTGATCCAATAATATATATAATAGCCTTCATTCTGGTTCTTTACCTGTTGTATTAACAAACTTCTGCTGTATAAATTGTACGTAAATCTCAAATTTGCATTTTAATTATTGTCATACGAAATGAACGAAAATTCATTATTAGTTCTTACAATTATCAATTCGAATGATATTCACTTTTTCTGCACGAAAAACGTGAATTGTATATTAAATTTAGAACGATGGTCGTCTTCGTCTATCTAACAGTGTTTTCTCTGTTTCATTACTTCGAACTCATTAATATAATGAGCGACACTTGGATCATGTAGTACAAAGTATAAACATACACTATAAAATTTGGTATCCAATGAAAAAAATGTCTTCGAGATATGATATACAATATACTCTAATATTTAATAGTTTTATTACTTTGCAATATACTTTCGTTTTTATACCGTCACAGCGCGCCGGTATTTGGTCACGGGTTTGCACATAAACACTGAACTGAAAACGTAGAGTTTCCTGCGCTTAGTTGACATCTGTAACAACTAAATAGAAGCCATTTTACTATTTAAAAAACCCCCGAAAAACATTGTCAACTCAACATATGGCCGTATAATATTAAAACCACAAACTACCAGTTTTCATTTATTCAAATAATTTATTATAACAGAAATAAATACATAGTAACTTACAACATAACTACATCAACTTTTTGTTTTATTTGTGAAAGAAATATCTATCTATAAGATTTATACTTAATAATTATTATGGATACTGGGTTATTATGACAGTGTAGGATATTGCTATCCCGATAATTGTGAACACCAAAGCACGATCGACAAGAAATATGTTCCATCCCGTGAACTGAAAAGTATCTTGAAGACATTTCATGGAAAATTTGTATGCACAATCTTGCACGAAAGCATTACAAAAAACTGACTTTGTGTAGACAACCGTCGATATTTTTTTTGCAGCAATAGATACACGAGCTGCAGCGTTACAAACAAACATAAATAAAAAGAACGGAAGTGCGTTCAAAGCGAAAATCCCAGAAATATAATTTATTTCTAAAGTAGTTAATTTGGAAAAGAACCAGCTGCAATTACAAACAATATTTCCTCCTGAGTAAATTGTCCAAATTAATAATATCTTGGAATAAAATTCTTGAAAATTGTCCGCAACTGACTTGATCTTCGTATATTCTTTGGGCATGTGAGAGATTTCTCTACAGAAGTCTTCAGGCGTGTATTTCTCTATTTTACGCAATAATTCGACAAATTCCGTTTCCAATTCTTTGCAGATTAAAATGAATAGTACAAAACAGAAATAATGTGGGATTGTTATAAACAATACAAAAATCATTTTTATGATCACTACAAGTAATATCGAAATATTTTCTGTAATTGCAATTCCGAAAAATGTTCTTACATTATATACATCAATTATTCTTTTGTTTTTTGGTAAAACAACAAAGTAATGGTAGCATATATAAACTATAGCATGAATCCAGATGAGAGCTATTAACATTATTATGCTTTTGACATTTAACTGTTTTGAATTACTTAAAGCAAACAATTCTTTCATACTGCAAATAAGGTACCTTTTGTAAATAATAAATAAATCGATAGCAATTACTAACGTAGATATATATAACGTTGTAATTGATAAATTCAATAATATCTTCTCTGAATAGTTATTCTTAAAATTAGAAATTATTATATAGAAACGCCAAATAATATAGATTTTTTGTATAATTGATACTACGATACTATGAATAGATACATTTTTGTTTTGAATGTTTAAACCTAAAATTTTCATATTTACGAAGAGAATTTTCCACGAAATCGATAATTGATCTTTCTGATCTTCTACTCTTGATTGTATGTTTTTCACCAAAGAACACATGACGATACTTCCTTGAAAATATTCATACCAATATATTATTAAATTTCACACGTCCGAAAAGAATTACTATTACTTACTTACCTTCTTGAACTTGTTTCTGAAGTTGGAATGTGAAAACAAATGAGTTAGCGTTTAAACGAGATACAAGTGAATATCGTCAAGCAATATCAACACGAGTGTTCTTGTCGAAATAGAAGAGGGAAGTGTAAAACCTAACAACTGCACACCTACGACGCTGCAATGACGTGACCATTGCCAGACATCTGCAATGAACACGTCAGTTTAATGCGTAAATAATGGGACGTTAGTGACGTCACTTAAAATTGTTTAGTAACACTTTTTTACTTTGGTATTCAAATCAATTAGACCACGGCTTTCGAGAAACAATTCTCCAATGAAAAGAAAGATTTGTGTTTTATTCTGATATATTTTAATATCTTATAGCTAAATAATCTATTTTATCAATTGTTAAACACGTGTATTTGATAATCAGTTTAAGGTTATAGTTCGAACTATCAAAATTTTCTTTATATATTTATTTAAACAAATTCAAAAATCATTTCAACGTTTAAATTTCGTATATTCTTGTATTGATTTGTGCTACTATAGTTAATAGTGTTGTATTATGATATTTCCATAATTTGAGTTAACCCAGGTAAAGTTAGTCTAGCTTTTCCCCTTTAAAAACTACAAACAAGAATAAAAAAAAAATTTACAAACTCAAATAATAATAATCATAATTGAAAAGAAATAGATAATAATGAAGAAATTGCAATACTTCCGTGTTAAGAGGAAGTGAGTATTTCGCCGCTTGTCATAAACATGTTTAGCTTGTAAACACTATATTTGATAGAACTTCTAAAATACTTCGGGTTTCATTGGCAATTTACACGAATATTCTTTTATGTTGAAAAAAAACAACTTGTTTCTAAGAGCAGATAGAATTGCTATTGCTAGTGATTTCCTAGAGTTCATCACTCTAGAACAAGATTCACCAAAGTACGGCCCGTGGGACAGATCCTGTCAGCCAGGCACTGTGCCACAAATGAGCTAAAATATAATTATTTACGTGAAAATATCGTAGATTTTAAATGAATTATGTAGATAAAATTCAAATAAGTGTAAACAAATGCCAAAATTGATCCAATCTGATTTTTACGTTTGACAGTAATATATTTTTATGAAATCAGTGAAATGAAAAATTCGGCGACTATTGATATCATGGGGCTTTTTTGCTAAAGTACCTGCAATGAAATTTCTAAAAAAAGCGATCACGAGCGTTCTGTAGCGATTTTCTTTGTCTATTAGTAAATAAATACGATGATTGTCGTTATTTTTTATGTGTTCAGTATATAATATTGAACAAAGTAGTTATGCGAACCGAGCTCGTCATTCTCTGTTATCTGGCTCCATGTTTAAAAACTAAAAAATAGCTATCGTGTCTCCACTCTGCTAGAAACACAAAACAATACTTTTTTCTAATATAATTCTTAAATTGTATTGTAATTTAATTTTTGTAAGTTTTGTTGCATAATAATAAATTTTAAAGAATATAATCTAATACAAACTTCATTATTGATTAGAAAACATTATTCTTCACTTTATGAAAGGTGATTGGTACATGCAATTCGTAATAAATCGTGCGATTAAACGTGTAATTGGCCGGAATATTAAGGTCAGTTTAACAAGAATGTATTATTCCGAAGAATTATTCAATTCTTTAATATAATTTTCAATATTATTGATTTTTCTAAATATCTGATATATTATTTATAAATTTATCTGTTTTATATGTTTTTTTTTCCCCTTGCATTCACTATATTTCCCATTTTACACTGTCTTCCAATAAGTAAGCAAAACACAAGTCTTTAATTAAAATTTTTATTTACATGTCGACAACAAACAAAATGTCATTAATTGATTTCAAATTTTTACGAGAAATGTTTAGAAATCAATTGTTTTAAAATCGATTAAAAGTTACGTTTGCACGCTATTGTCTTTTTCGATATTACAGAATATAAGGAAAACAGTATTTTGTCAATTTATGGACTCTTTTGATAATCTCATATGGAGAAAAAAGTTTATATTTTCATAATTTCTAAAATAGGATTAATTGAGTAATTAACGCGATATGCCGGCATATTTACTCCATATAATTGGCTACAATTACGCCAATCACAAGCATTCTAACCCGCGATGGGGTCATAGATGGATGAGGCGATAGAACGGATCTACTCTTGGTCGAATCTCAAGAATTTTTTTAGAGCAAACGTGCACTGTCTCTCACTAACTTTCTCCCTGTATTGTGGGACTGAACGAACGCAATATACTTTTAAAAAAGCCTCTTTATGCCCACAGAGCAAGAAAGAACCAAATATGGAAAACCCACAGTAATATATTTAATTGGTATTTTAAAGTATATTTTAAATTTAGTCCGAAACTACATTTATTATCTTCTCTCAAATAGTGGCATTTAATACTTATAATAGTATGTCTTTTGTTAATTTTAACATCACCATAACAATATTCATAAATATCTAAAGGAAATGTATTGTAATATTCAGTTATTATATCAACGCTCTTCTATATTTTAATAGACCTTTATTACGTGAAATGCACAGCTCGGTAATTATTTTATTTTATTTACTGATAGTTTTCACATTTTAATTGCATAAAAAGTATCCAGATTATATAAATAATACAGTAGAGGAGAAGGTGGTATTATGGAACACTGCGGGTATTATGGAACCACCTCATTTCGAATTGATAATAAAGGCGAACTGTTGCGGAATGTGGCTGAACTGAACTAGGCAGACATCCATAGCGAGAGGAAAACCCGTTTTACTTCAGTTAAACGGTTGTCCGTATTTAATCAGCAAATTTGTTTTTTTCAAAATTCGCAAGTTTTGAATGCTAAGTGAATTTAATTATTTTTAAAATATAAATCGTGTAGTTGTAGGTTCACTGGTGCATGTATTCCGTTCCAGAGACTTAGGGGTACATATTAATCTGTGTGATGTTCACGTTTTTTAAATTTTGGTCTCGACAGACATAAGTTAATTCGAGATGGCGATGCGTGAAATACGGACCCCTTTGGTGCTTTTACAGTAATATGGAACTCAACTCCTCCGAACTCTCTCTTTGCAATCAGACATTCGTCCGGAGCAATTTGGGAAAAAGACACTAGGTAGAAAGTCTGAAAATATCGAAAAAGAGCTGCTGGAATATATATTGTTGATGGAGGTCATATTTTTCTATTATAAAAGCATTTTTGCGATAAAATACATTGGAGTAAATAATTTTGTAATTATTTAACATTTTTTGTCCTTTCCTATTTGTTTTTGGCTACATTAAAGCATTTTTTTGAAAATATACAGTAAGGTTCCATATTACCACCCGATTTTCTCTAAGCCTACTTTCGGACTTTTTGTACAAAAGCCTTCAAAAACCATACTTATAATTACACTAGCGAAAAATCCAATTAGGAACATTTAGTTTACTAGTTACCGGTACTTTTCGCACAAAAACTGTGGGTGTAGTTATGATACCTTGTTTACATTTCACTAAAATGTAATTGGGGTTCAATAATACCACCTTCTCCTCTATTTTTGGGCATATTTTATGTGCAGTTCATATATTATTAAAATATTTAAACAGTTATTCGTTTATACTTACAAAAACTGAAAAGAAATTCATTATTTGTTCAAATATTTATTTATTCGAAATGATATTTACTTTTGACTTTCTAAAGTTTTAAAACGTACACTTTGTTTAATTTAAAGTTAAATTAAAAAATAAATTTTCGATTAAAATTTCGTAGTGGCATATCTCTTAGCAACAGTGTTTCTTAAAAATATCCTGTATCGTAGGATCAATGGTATTGTACTCGAATCAATAGAATTTATAGATTATTGCATACACTTTATCGAAACAACTCAGAAAATTTCCATTCAATCTTTTTATTCGAGATCTTCAGATCATCTATATATATAAAATTGCTTGTCCTGACTGACTGACTCACTGATTCATCATCGCGCAGAGCAAACCGCTGGATTTAAAGAGCACAGATTTGGTACACAGTTAGGGTTTGTCATGAAAACGCACACTAAGAATGGATTTTTCAAATTCCCAAGTGGGGGAAGAGGGAGAGCATTAAGTCTTAACCGGAAAAACGGCTTTTACTGTACTATTTTAGATGCGATTTTTTGTTTTCAACTACATTTAGTCTTCATTGAGTACTTAGGTGTAGTACAGGGATGAGCAACACGCGGCCCGTTAAACATGTTTATGCGGCCCGCCAAGCATTTTTAAAATTGAATTTATTTTATCGACTTTCTCCCATCAATATATTGTTATGAAATTATTTATAATAAAATGGTAGTACATACTAAACCGAAACAATTTTTTGTGACCAGATACACACTTGTCGGCGACTTGTTCAAACATGCAATACGAACGCGCCGCGTCTGCGCTTGTTTGTGTTTGCTTCTGTCACACAATCAGTCAGACTGGTAAGCTGTTACTAGCAAATTTAGCAATTCTTGTGTTTCTTGAAAGGCGTGAGTGCAATATTATTGTCAAAAAGGTAATATTAGAGTTTTTTTTTATTCAAAATTAAGTTTTCCTTAAAATTTTGTAACTTTCAAATTTTTAATCCATAATAGCATGTCGGAAAGGCAAACAAAAAAACGGAAGGTTGCGGATGAGCACAGGCATTTCCAAGAAAAGTGGAAATTTGATTATTTTTTCACTTTCGTCGAAGATAAAGCTGTATGTTTAATATGCTCAGAGACTGTGTCGACATTAAAAAAATTTAACATAAAAAGGCATTACGATACAAAACATTAACAACAATATAAAAACTTAACAGGACAACTCCGGATAGATAAGTTTAATCAAATGGAGAAAAACTTGGGAAAACAACAGGCTATTTTTAAAAATCAAGCTATTTTATCATATACGGCAGTAAAGGCTAGTTTTGTTGTCAGTCAAATACTGGCAAAAAAAATGAAACCCTTTGCGGATGGAGAGATGATAAAAGAATGTCTGACTGCTGTTACAGAAATAGCATTTCCTGATAAAAAAAAAAATATTATTTCAAACATTAGTTTATCAAGATTCACCATTGCAAGGAGAATTGAAGACTTGTCCAAGAACATAGCAACAACGCTTCGTGAACGCATTGCAAAATTCGAATACTGTTCTTTGGCACTTGATGAGAGTTGCGATATTAGCGATACAGCACAACTGGCTATATTTTTACGTGGTATTGACACCAAATTTAATATTACCGAAGAATTGTGTTCACTGATTCCAATGCAAGTTGACTACAACCGGCAAAGTCCTGTACAATGAACTAAAGTCTGTGTTGGAAAATTTTTCAATTTCATTAGAAATTATTATTGA